CACATACCAACTTGTTAAAAATGTATTACCACTTTTACCGCTCACTTTGGAGCAGCAGAACAAGAAACAGGCACTACAATAAATCTGGAAGGTTACAGCGGGGACATTACACTTGTTTAGTTTCTAAGTTTGGCAGCTGTTCATACTGGGCCTGTCATCATGGGCCTGTCATCGACACAGATCATCCATCACGACCTTGGCTGTAGCAGGGCTTAAATGTAGCTTTAATTTCTGGAGAATCTCTAGATGTGACCAACCTCTAGGTCTGCTGTGTGGATGAAGGTATTCTGTCCACAATTCCTTTACATAGTAATTCGATGAATATCCTGTCAATACTGTCAGGTCAATTTGTTTGGATTTAACAAACTTACAACTTACAGTCACATGACTGTCTATTACACATTATAATATGCTCTATTCTTGTGTATTGTTAACAAAAGCCCTGAAAAACTAAGTACACAAAAACTCTCTCTTCAAGAGCAACACGTGTTCTCTACCAAAGTTGTTGAGTTAAGTTAACAGAGATGAATAAATGAAATGGACTATTTAAATGTGAGTTGGTGAATATGTCAAGTAAAATCAGATGTTAACGGAGTCATAGGTAAAATTGTTATTCAATGCAAACCCAGGTTCTTTCACTGTTTGTAAAGGGTCATTATTCAGTTCAGTTAGTGGCCTGTCATCGTCTTGTCTATTGCTTGTTTCTGCTGCACTTAAGTGACTTCAAGACAGTAGAAAACCATTTCACTGTGAAGTTTATTTGTGACTTCTGAACAAATACCACCTTTAGATGTCCGACATTTTTCTCATTTCATCACTTCCACCACTCCTACTTTCCTCTTCTTTTGTCCCCCTGCCCACTTACCCGCTAATCCTTTACTCCTGCCATCCACCCAGGATACCAGAATATAGATCTGGAGCTGCAGACCCCATCAGACCTGAACTATCAGCCCCCAACACCACTGCGCTCAGAGGATTTCTTTAGTGAGGGCGACGGTAGTGTAGAATCTCCTAACATGACCACACTTAGTCGACCTAGTGACCTGTCTCTCACTCAGACCACCAGTACCTCCAGCAGCAATGTCCTGACAGTCGCCCCAAGACCCTCTGTTGATGAAGAAACCACCTTCAAAACAAGAGACCAGGTGACAGAAAAGACCGTTCTGGTTTCTTATGAGACACCAGATAATGACAGAAGGGCAATAGAGAAATCGAGGGAGGCGACGAAAGCGCTGGAAACAGATCAAGATGTTGTTTTGGGGGAACACCGTGAAATGTTCTCTGCCTTACACATCGGTCATGGGAATGGGCGGCAGAATGAAGAGGAGGAGGAGATGACCCAGGAGAGGCTACAGAGTTTGCTGGAGGATATAAAGATGGAGGGGGGCTTGGATGACGAGGAGATGACAGAGGAGCGAGTCAACTCCATCCTTGAACAAGTACGACAAGCAGAAAAAGTTTTGTGTTCAGTTCCAGGTTGGAGAAGTGAGATGTCTGAGGAGATTCTAGAATCTTCAGCACTGGCCTCCAATGAGGAGGGCAGGTAGGATTTCTCCTTTTCTACTAACAGATTTGTTACTGTTATACAACAGCTCAGTTAATCTTGTCCACGTTTCACAACCTCAGCCCTGAAAGTTTAGCTGATTCCCTGGAACAGCCTTCCACTCAGAACAACGGACAAAACGGATGTCCAGCTGAATTAATCAGGGATGGAAAGGAAAAGGAGACAAAGAGGAAAGGATCTCAGGAGGACAACGTCACTGCAGGGTCAAGTAAAGGAAGAAAGGAAGGAGGTGAACGGTCCCAGGATAAAACTCAGGTAAGACCCATTTTAATCCATCTTTAAAAGGAATAGTCCCATGTCTACTTTGGGGGTTGGTTAGCTCCCTTTCTCCCCTACAGATGGTGCTGTGGATATAGTTAAATGCCTGGTGTGGGCGATATGGTTATCCAAAATGATCCACAGATCAGTCTGTTTTGGTCACATCATTTCCATCATAAAGTCTAACACAGTGTTTTACTGACAAAAGGAGCCCAGCTCTGATGAGGAGAACACCGTCACCACTAAAGTGTACCGCAGGCGCGTCATACTCAAGGTGTGTGAGGACTGCTGTGTGGAGAGATGCTGTCAGTGTGCTGTGAAGCTGCAGTGGAGCTCCGAGGCTTTGGCTGAACAAGAAACATTTACCTTCTGTACTGTGTCTGCTTTACAGAACGTCTACAGAGTGTATGTGTCATAGACTGCTTTACAGAACGTCTACAGAGTGTATATATATATAACAAATGCATGTAGCGGTTTTGCGCCCCCTGGTGTCCCTACAGTATGAGTCTGTTTGTATGTGTTCCTGGTACTGTAAAATTACAGTATTATTGTGGGGCCATATTTTTAAACACCAGAGATGTACTGAATGATTGGTTTATGGATTGGAATTAGGCTCAGATCAGAGATAGAGTAAGGATTAAAATAACCATATACATATTAAGGTTAGATTAGTCTTAATGAATCCGTTCTGTGAATTTAAGGTGCTGTGTGTGATTGTTAGTTTATAGTTTTGCAGTAGTACAAAGTGCTACTGTACTCCCTGCTTGTTGGTGCGAACCACAGCATCCGCATGATGCTGTTTGTTTGTGCTTTTTTAAATCAAAAATGTTAGAAATAAATAAATAGTGTGTCAAAAGAAGTCTGTCATTAGAACTGTTGTCGTCACTTCACAGACAAAAATGAAAGGCTTTCAGTTTGAGGATTTTTGTTCTTGTTTCACCTTTGTGTCAATTGACGTGATTTTTGACAGATGACTCGGTCTTTGTGCCATTAACCCCTGTGCAGTCGTCAGTGCCTTTAATTTAATTTGGAATTTCAGTGGTTTTTAACAGGCATGCTGGTGTCTCTTCAGAAATGTTCCCTTAATAACTTCCTCAACGCTGACCTTTACTCCTCCATCCTTCCATCCCATATTTACACCCTCACCACAGGGAGAAGAGGCCAAAAACATTCCTGGGGAGTCTGTGATTGAGGAGCAGTTCACAGATGAGGACGGGAATCTGGTCACCAGAAAAGTAACAGCACTCATCCATTATCATCTCCCTGTCACATTCACATACTAGCACACATTGTTTCACACATACTAATACGCACACTGTGGACATCTCCAAATCATTTTCCATATTTTTCCCCACTACATACTCTCCAACTCCTGACATGCATCCCCCTGCTCCCCCTCGCCCCCAGGTGATCAGAAAGGTGGTGCGCCGTGGTATCAACTCAGAGGAAAGGAGGGAAGGTGAAGGGAATGCTAGTGTTGTTAGTGGTGATAGTGGTGTAGCAACAGGTGGAGCAGATGATGCTTCTTCGACTGCAACAGCTACAACAGGAGCACCGGAGGGGAAGAGCAAGAGACGAGGGAAGCGCTCCCGACAGGGCCATAGGGCTGAGAAGTCTGGGAAAACTGAGGTTGGCCTTTAGACCAGAGAGCATCCTTTAACCTCGTCTGCTGAGTTTTCTCTGCCTGCATGGATCTGAAATTGTTTATTAACAACTGGCTTTTCTTTAAGCAATTCTCCGCCCAGTTTGCTGTTTCTTCTACCATAAATACAGTGGATGTAACAAGTTTACTCATCTCTGCATAGACCCTGGATTTTGAGCATATAATAATAATAATAATAATGAAAATACATTCTTATAATTTAGAACATTATTCATGTTTTCATTGTGTTTGGGTACCTCTGAAAAACACGCATTTGGAAATGAAATTTTAGTGTGATGATTTTACATCACAACAAAATGTATTCAAGGTGTGTAAACTCTCTATCTCCACTGTACTGGTAGGAAAGGATTCTTCTTCCTTTAGGCTGAAACGTATTAACTTTTACTCACATAGCAATAGTGATGAAACGTGTTTATTAATCCACATTTTCACACAGACGTTGTTTACCAAGTTTGCCTCCACTTCCAACAATTTGGATCATATTTAAATCTACTATGTGTTTTATTTGCAGGGTTTAACTTTTTTTCTGGTTTCTCTTTGGAACTGAAATGAGCACAAACCTACGTGACCTACGTATAAAAAGTCTGACTGTTCAATTTGAACAGATTTCTAGTGAAGACTGATTGCTGTGTTTCTGTGCTGTGTGATGTGTGTTTTCTCTGTAAGTACATTACTGTTAGCAGTAGGCCTATTGTTTAGCCAAACCACCCCCACCCCACTCTAGTGATCTTACCAGAGCAACACTAATATCACTAATCTAACATAGAGAAAAACAAATATCTTTTTGAAGATAACAATACCAATTTTATAGTGAATTATTCTTCCTGTACATGAACTCCTTTCTCTTTCAGCATGTTGCCTGTGATGTCCAGTAGCTTGAACATGCACCCACGCTGTTGCCTTTATATAATTAACTATGTTTAATAATTAACTATGTTTTTTTCTCTCTCTCTCCTTTTTTCTTCTATTTCACCACTGGCTCTTTCCACCAATCTCTCTCAAGTCTGGAAATGGAAACAACAAGAAACCAGGAAAGAAAAGTCATTCGTAACACTGAAGCTCTGACCCAAACCTGGTGAGAATGATCATTTGTTAGGTTTAGTTGTTGTTGTACATCGGGTATCAAGTCATATTCTATTAGATTAACTGTTGTTAAAACTGTTTTACAAAGGCGATACAAATTCAGTTACATTAAAACAATTACAGTTGCAAACGCTTGTCGCAATAACAAATTAGCAGCATGTTGTTGTCACTGCCCAGGTCTACTGATGCTCATCACGACACACCCTGAGACGGAAAAACCAGATCAGATGCCAGACTGGACAGAACATTAAAGGCCTCGCCACTCAGCTGAAGCTTGTCGGACGCTCTTTTTTTAAACAAAGCATGGTGTTCAGCAAGATGGCGCCAAACAAGACACTTTTCTTTTAATTCGCATGAGCATGTCACCAAACTCACTCACTGTTGAGAAACAAAATACACATGTGGACACGGACGTAAGCTGGAACTGTTGTCTGTAGTGTGAATGAACAGCGTCTGTGACCAAAGACGGCACAAATAATCAGACTGCTGACAGAGAATGAAGACTGTTGAGTCACTCTCACTCTCCTCACAGAAATCGCCTTACACCATCATTTGTTTTCTTCCTCCTGGACCCACAGTACCTGGTCTCTGCACCACGTGATTCTTTTATAAAAACAAAAACATATATATATGATGATAAATGAGTGATTTTTGTTGTACATAATGACATTGTATAAAAAAAAAAGACTATGTACATAATGACATTGTATAAAAAAAATCGAAAGAAAACAGCAGATTGATTATGCACTGAGTAGAGATGATTAAGCTTTGCAGAGTCAGTGCGTTTGTATGGAATTTGTCAGATTAAACCAGGGACAAAAACTCTGTATCTGAATGAGAAGCAAATGCTTGGCTTGGTTTAGTTTTTTGGAAGAAGAAGAAGGGTCTGCTTGTTTGAACCCAACAGCAGTTTCCTGCTCAGTGCATGGAACAAGGTCTTCAGAGATGTTTTGGCTGCATGTGCGTCAAGTTATTTTTACACTTCCAATCTATTTGTTCCTAATTCAAAGCACTGTAACACGACTACAAACAGTTTGGTGATACTTCAGTATGTGTGTGAGCACTCATGAGTACCTAACAGTCTATCATCCAATGCTGTTTTTATTGGGTTTTTAATTTATTGCTTTTTTATAAGACAAATGCACTCCACCTCACAGGAAGCAAAAGAACCAGTCTTTAATTCTTCCACTTCACCACTCAGTAACCAGTAAATGGCAGCACAGACACCATTATTAATGTACTGCCATAGTGGAAGCCTGTGCAAATCTGTGTGTGCAAATATGTTCATCCTGCATACTCCAACGTCTGCTGTGTTTTTATTTTTGAAGATTTTGTGAATTTAGTCTTTATTTAATTGGCTTTATTTACATTAGAAGTGAAGTTCCTGATTTTTATTTAGCCACATCACCAAGTCTGGTCCCTTTTGCTAATGACTAAGATCACAACAATAATCAATTTGTTCACACATGAAATATAAAAGGTGATTTCCTGCTCACATGATATGAGTCGTTTCAGTTATTTTATTTTTACTTCTCTTTTCATACAGATCCACTCTGAGAAAACAATTGACTGACATGTAAGACGAGCCAACATACAGTAGCTTACACTGGATCATTCAAGTAATTATTTAAGCTGAAAAATAAATTGTGATTAAACTACACCTGTATGTGTGTTTCCTGTTACGGGTTTTCATACAGTCAAGTTTAGGAAAAGCATAAGTGTGAAATGTCTAAATGGAGATGTGGTCAGATTCATTGTGACCCGATCTGTCACCCCACTGTACCTACATAAGGCAACAAACATCACCGATAAAACACAGGATCTATTTCCTGTTCGTGACCTGCTTATGTGCAACAACTAATGGTGACTTTAATTTGTACATGAATTTTGTTGTACCGATCTATCTATGTATCTATCCGTATGGATAATTATACATATATATGAATATATAAAATTTATTAATTGAACATTTTAAACGTTATAATATATTTTACAATGATGCATTGTTCATATCATCAGAGAGATTGTCATTTTAACACATTCAAAATATGAAACTATAAATTAAACACTAAATAAAGCATAGAAAACAACATTGATCCGTTAGAGGAATGATAAACTTATCATATAATATGCAAATTATTTATTACAAAGTAATTTCGTCTTTGAAAGGGTTTCATTGCTGACTTGATGACAGCGGCTCTCTTTGCGACGATTTGCGTCGATTTGCGGCACTGCGCAAACTTTTTTTCCCCGTTCATTATTTTACCTTACTTCGCATAAAAAAAAAAGAAGAAGCCTATCGTACGCACGTTGGCTTTTCCAGATGTGGCAGATAATCGTTTTGTAATGTTAAGTTAGTAAACAGCATTTGCTCTTTTCTTAGCTCCTGGCCAACAGGCAGTTCTTGATGACAGGAGACCCTAGAAAAAGACTGCATGAAAAAAGAGACCGACGAAACACAAAAAATACGTACTTGAATGCTGGTTAAAGGTTAACAAATGCGGCAAATATACCCAAAAGGTAAGCCATGAAATTAGCTCCTTAGTAGCTTAAAAAATCTAAATAAATAGTAATTATCATTCGAAAAACTTACACCATTAAGTGTTTCCTCAGTTATTTCAACGACAGTGGTAGTAAAAAACAAAGCTAGAAGATAGAGGAAATGTAATAAATTAACACATTTTGCTCACTACTAAGAAAAACAATGATAAACAAAACAACTAAAAGAATAAAGTATAGAGAAATAGTTAAGTTATATGTAGTTCATATAACTTAACTATTTCGCTATACTTTATTCTTTCTTGAATTAAGTTCAAATAAAAGTTTAGAATATAGAAAAAGAGTCAAGAGAGCAAAAAATAAATAAAAAGGTTCAAAAATTAAATCACCAAAGTTTAAGCAACCAAAGTATAAGAGAGATAACTGGTTAAAATAGGCACAGCAATAGCCACTTGGTTAGCGATTGTTTTATGTTTTTTAATAAATAGTTTAAAAAATCCTGCTTAATAAAAAATCAAGAGAAAAAAATTACAACAAAAAATATATAGTAACCATTGTACAGTATGTGAACCACAAAGGTATGCTTATACGTGGCACAGTGTCGTGATCTCTGTGTTGTATCTGGTTCTGGTTGTTTACACTATACAGTATATAAGGTTCATATAACTTCCCCATATTTAAACCACAGTTTACACTTGAACTAACATCGAAGGGCAGGTGATTTCCAAATATAATTCTTTCTGTGTCACTTTCACAGCAGTCACACAACACTTTCTTAGAAGGCAATGTTGACCAGAAATGTTCTGTGGTCCTTCTTTAACTACACAAATAGACAAATATTGAATGTTGGCCTCACACTAATGTATGACGTCAGTAGTTCCGTGTCCTAATTGCAAACAAGGCTGAAGACCCCTGCTACAGTGCAGTCAATAGTACAGTCAGCGCAAAAGACTTTGACTTTGGACTGAAAGAGAGTTGAAGGGTTCAATAGATCAATTTTATGAAGGAAAATAGATAAATATTGGATAAAAAATAAATTTCCTTTTAGCATAATAATTATCAATATATTATCCTGAACTAAACAAGTTACTGTTCAATTTTTAAGCACAAATTGCACACCTAGTTAGTACATAGGTAGTCATTTTTTACTATAACAAAATTGTTGTCCCAATAACATAAAATTTAGCTTTACATCATATGCTATTTTCATCAAAAGTTGCCTAATATTAACACTATTCTCCTGCAGGCGCCTACTGATGACCTAAGATGGCGGTCGGGGGCGGGGGGTGACAAATGGGAGGATATTTTCAAGGTTCAAGTGATGATGGCACAACTGCACTTTTATTTAACTTTGTGTTATTTGATGTTAATATTAATTCATTATAAAATATGTTGTTACTCTGTTAGTTTGATTAATTTGAAATGTAAAGATATTGATAAGATTTGTATTAGGGCAAAGTGGGAAATGACCAAAAGAGTCTGAGAACCGCTCATCCAAAATAGTAGTACTAATACTATAATAATGATTTTTTAAAAAGTCTTCAAAACATAAAAATATCCTGTAAAAGGAAAGGAATGTCATAATTGTCCTTCAGATATGTTGCTATATCTGTTCTTCTGGTTACAATTCAGAAAAAAAAAATGTTTTTGTTATGTCCACGATTGATCAGAAGTAACATACTATGGGGTCTTTCAGCAATCAGTAAAAGTTCCTTGCAATTCACTCACCATGGATGGAGTGTTTTTACTAAACATTAAATCCTCTGAAAATGTTTTCCATGGTGATATAGCCCAGAGGACAAGTCCTCTAATAGGATAACGCAATGGAGTTCTTTCTCCCTGTAATATGGGTGAACTATTTATCCACTTAAAATGACACTCTAATTTTAATGGTTGTTTATTGACTATGGCAATAGACAAGTAATCAGTTGAAAATCAGTTTTAAAATATTTTGCATTCTACAAAGTGAAAATATTTATTTGTAACAACTGTCTTGAAAGACCCAGGATTCGATTCCACAAAACAATTGCTACACTTTGTGCTGCTGCTTGATTTAAACAAAAACCCGCATCCATAGCGGCCCCTTGTGGAACTGTTTGGCCACACCTGATCCCCATTTACAACAATATAGCTCAGGGAATTCCTCTGACAATGGTGCTGGAGAAGTGGGTTGGAATGTCGGGCATTTCTAGACAATTACAAATTAGAAAGAAAACAATGTTAAAAAGTGATATAAATTTGTCATAAAAAGTTGATGTTGTAAAGAATAAGAATTAAACTTGGTCCTGTGCCTGAATTTGAACCCACACTCCAGGTCCCATTGTCTGTGTTGTTTCCATTGTCTGGGTTTTTTGAAAGCCAATCATTATAATATAATGACTAGCATTTTTGTTGTTCCTTTGTTTTAAATGTCCAACCAGCAACACCAGTGACTATTGTTGATCTCTTCTTTTGAAGATCAGTTCTAAACATGAGTGACTGTCTTCCTGTCTGAAAGAATCTGCACTCCTATGTTGTATTAGTTTCTATGAACTGAGTTCTTTTCTAAAAACTGACTTTTTGTTTTGCAGGCCTAAAGCAGCGTTGACACAGTATGAGATAATACTGACGGAAATCACACTGGCACTTTTGCACAAGGGCAGCAGGTAAAACAGCATAGCAGTGTGGGTCGGGGGCTCGAAGAAGTCAAAAGGGTGGAGCAGGTCATGACACAATCTGCTTTCTCCAACTTGCTTTTTTTACTTTCAGTATAAGGCAGAGGGTAGAGGCCTTGGTCAAGAACAGGGAGCCCATGTTAGGCAGGCATCTTAGTGAAGGTTTGCTCTCTAAATGGACTCACTCAGATCTGATGCACTTCTTCTTTTTGGTTGTCCACTGTAGGTCCACACCCACAGCTATGAGCAGTAGGTTGAAGATGTGGGGTACAGGTGTACCAGGTGACGTTACGGCTAGGAGGTGGGGGTGGTGTGGTAGGTAGAACGGTGGAGTACTCCACAACATTGACCGCCAAGGAAATGCACGTGGCTGTCAGTGAGAGTGCTGCAGACAGTGTACCTGGAGTGTGGGTTCAAATGGATGATGTTGAAATTTAATTCTTATTCTTTACAACATCAACCGTTCATGACAAACATATATCACTTTTTTAAAATTGTTGCTAATTTGTAATTGTCTAGAAACCTCCGTCATTCCAACCCACTTCTCCAGGACCATTGTCAGAGGACTTATCCCCTGAACTATATTGTTGTACAGTATATGTGGCTCAGGTGTGGCTAAACAGTTCCACGAGGGGCCGCTGTGGCTGCGGGTTTTTGTTCAACTCAAGCAGCAGCACAAAGTGTAGCAATTGTCTTTCCGAGACTAGATTTGAACCTTTATTTTCAGAAAAGTTAAGACAGTTTTAATTAAAAAACGTAGGTGCTGAAAGCAACTCAGCATCCATTTTACCATATATTTTTTTTAAAACAAGGACTTCTTTGCTTACTGTGTTGGACCCATTATGTATCTTATATGTACAAAAGCTTAAATAACAAAATCTAAATATTTGATCATAGAAATATAAAACTTCTACATTGTGTTGCATCAATTGTGACTGTGACTAAACTACACTGTTGTAGCACATTGTTTGTCTGTAAATGGCCTAATTAGTGTGTAGAGTCAACAGAGATGCAATCTACCCCCGACCTCAATTATTATTGTTTATATATTTGTGTTTATGGTATTTTAGGCTAATTAAAGTGATATGGTGAATTTTCCAACAGATAAGTGTAATTGTCAGCTTTGCAATTAGGGACAAAGTCATCAGATAACAGAGGACAAGGCAGTAAATCTCACTAAAACAAACTTTCATGTGGGATAATTCCATGTAGTAATAGGTTAACATAATTAAATGTTGATGAAATTATTATTACTATTATTATGCAATAGAAGTAGTAAAGTACTAGACCTTAGAAATTAGCTAATCAGGGGCACAGTAAGAGTGGAGATCAAGTTAGAGAGGGGAGGACAAGATGGAATAAATAACACTATTATTACAAAGTTATTGAAATCTATATTTTAACCCGGTCTTGAGTGTTCACCTTTTCAAATTTCTAGGGATTTATTCAGTAATTATTATTATTATTATTATTGCTGTTATTTATATTATTATTATGTAGACGTATTAGTATTGTAAAGCCTTTAAGTATGTTCGAATAAAAACTATAATAATAAATGACAGTTAAAACGTTAATATATATTTAGTCATTAATAAATTAGTAATTACTTTAGATTAGTACAAGTATGAATTAGTAATTTTCTACATAAATGACACCTCTAATTTATTGTTGAAATAAATTAGAGGTGAGTTGCCGTAAACTTAGGGAGGGTGTGTTTTGCGACAGTAGTGCAAATGTCGTAACGCGTGGGCAAACTCTGGGCGTTGTTCATTACGTAGAGAGACGACCGCCCACACTGACCTGAATATGTGGATTTTTGTTGCTGGGGACAATTTTTGTCATGTCATGGACTCCAAAACAACAACAAGAAGATTTCCGTTGTATGGACCTTCTTCCAAATGGGCCCGTGTGTTAAATACAGTATTACGACAAATGCGAATCGCCCCCTCGCCTGCTGAATTGTGACGCTTTATCAACCTTATGGGCAGTATCGATGTATTGGCTGTACATACTGGAATGGCTCGCCTTTTGGCTCAGTCTGTGATTTTTACGGTGTTGGTGTGGCCTGCCTTCCTGTCTGGGTTGATTGGATTGGGAAATGATTCCTAAATTCGCCCTCGCATCAACAGTATTTACTTCTCGAGTAAGGAAGTAGAGTACGTCAAGATAATTATACTAAACACGGCCTATATCGAAAGTTGTTTTTGTAACCTTCACAATAAAATCACCAAACGTAATCTTTTGGATGTTATTTTGATCACTTTATGGTGGAATACAACAGATTGTGGTAGGAGAGCTAATATAAGATATCATGTATTAGAAGATCAGTTTTACTTCTAGACGGGGTCGCCGAGCGTCAGTAGTGACTCGCAGTGTGTCTTAATTTGGAAACTGTAAACGGAAGTGATTTTGATTGTGTCGTTTTTGCTTTGACACAGTCTGGTAGTTAGGGGGATGTGGCCAGGGTATATTTATGCTGCTGTTCGAGATATGAAAATCACTGAATCGCTGCTGCTTCTGGAGCCCTGTTTCTCCACCAGTGTCCACACCGGAGGTAAGGACATTGCAGGTTCTGCCCATAAACTGAACTGTCGCCCCTTTTCGAATACGTCGATCACGACCGTAGCTATTGAGCTGGTTCCGCCTGTACTGGCTCATCTTCATGAAGCCTTCACGCCCAAGCATTGAGTTGGTCTCGCAGCATGTGATTCTATATAGTTAAATTGACAAAGCGTTCCTTTAAAAACTTTATTTTTTTGGACAAATAGCTTCAGTCCTTCTCGTTTCGAGCGTCTTCCTCATATGTCAACAACTCAACACCAAGTGATGATGGAGCCCTCTCTAGCCCTCGGGAGATTGGAGCTCACCCCCGGTTCAGCTGCTGTTGGGGTCAACCTGACCCCGCTGCTCCCTGGAGGTTCCCCGGTCAAAGAGAAGAGCAGCCAGCGACCAGCGGAGCCCCAAGGCCCGGCTCATCTGAACGGCTGCATCCCACTGTCGCATCAGGTGGCCGGTCACAAGTACGGCGTGGACAAAGTGGGTGAGTGACAATAACCGGTTCTGTTCTATTTTTCATTCAATTAGCCTGTTATTATCATGTCATAACGATGAATTCATCTGGATGACATCAGTCCAACAAACAACTGGCTGGAAGAATAAACCAGAAAAGTTAGAGTGTTATTAACCAACTGGAGATAATAAGTAACCCATTGAAAATAGTTGTCACCAAGTCATTGATAAGTTGACTAATGGGTGCAGCCAGTGTGTAGATACATGTACACACACTCCCTGCCTGAGGATAATATGAAAGTTCACATTTGTTTGTCCTGTGATTAATCATGAACCCAAGGTGTAAAAGATCCAGATATGGTCACTGTCTAAAAGATGGTGGGATTATGATATGTTTAACACAATCAGGGAGGATTATTGCACGGATTGGATGATTCACCTAATGATCCCTATGACATCTTGATGCAATCATGTTCAACTCTGACTCTGTCTTCTTGCATAAGTAGGGTTTTTTGTGACCTTATGGGTAATATGTTGAAATGAACTGCATGTACATGATGAAGTCAAGAGTATGTAATTCAGTACAGTTTTCAGTGCATGAGTCACCGCTGTTCAGTCATTCACCTTGATAAACTGCAACATGCTGACAAGAAGAAAATGTGCTTGGTTCTTAGGGGACAGATAAGACATTTTAAGAGCGTGTTCTGCCAGGATGCATCATACAATGTCTGTGAAACGTGTTTTCCTGGTGTGGCATACACACTCTTTTTAAACTTTTTACCTCTGGTAGACCGAAAGAGTCTGAACAGGTCTACACATGAAACACATAGGCAGTCAATTACCTTTGGAAATACAGGCCGAGCTAGTTGGATGGCTAGTACTAAAATTAGTATCCATTGCCTCACTCTCAGAATTTAGCCCTCTAGCTTCACCTGTTGGGATAGGTTTAGCTGTAGAGCTATGTATGTCAAGTGTGAATTCCAAGATATTAGGCTTAATTTGATATTCCTCACATACTGTCAGCAGAAAATGTAAATTATGTAAGTTTTAGTTCTGAATAAACTTAACAGGACTAAGGACTTAATCCTGATACACCTGTGAAAGATGTTCCTCGGCTTACTAGCTTACAGGACCCTGTAGGTTTTTAGGAAGAGGTCTCGCACTGTGTCCACTGCTATTAGAACTATAAGCTTAGCTACTAATAAATATATTAATTAAAAAAATAAGATAATATATGTGGACATTTTTGTACACCAGCCCCTATCCTACAATAACCTCTAAAGCTCAGGTTATCGTAGGATAAACTAATAATTCATGGTTGGTTTTTAAATACCTGGTGCAGAAGCAGTTCTCTATGTTTAGTGTATTTGACAGCACACTGTAGAATGACGTTATCTGAGTGTCTCTTTGGGCTCAGCAGCAAATAATTATTAACACCAGCTGAGTGGAACCACAGAGACTTGCACTGACACAGTGGTGAGACTTGTCCAACAGTCTTCCACTGTCTCCATGACAGTTGCAGAACAAGTATTGGAATCCAGTTCAGCTTGTACTTCATTTGCTTGCAAACAGCCCTGTTTCCACAACATGTGTGTTTTAAGTTGGAGTTGGGGGCGGACGTTTGTATGCCACAAGGGACGATTGTATAACTGTTGAGGTTTTTCTGTTGACCAATGATTTATTTTTTCAGCTTCTGTCATAAAAATGGCCTGCTGTAGTTTTCTGTTTGTACTAATGAATGCTACCCAGAAGAGAGGAGAAGTATTCAAGCTATTGACTCTCAAACAGGAAGTATACAGTTAGTTTTATAACCTGCAGGACCGGTGCGTTCTTAATGCTTAGACTCCAGAGTAGTAGATTCATTTATTTATTTATTAGACTTTCTGACAAATTATCGTAAATGACAGAGATAAACCTGTTACAGTCTGCACAAGGAGGTGAACAAGAAGTCAATACGACGGTTGACTTAAACATTATCGATTCTATAATGCAATAAAGTGAAGCTGATATGTAGTTATTTGACTTTTGTTCCATTGCTATACAGTATGTTATAATAGTACGCTAACTGTTTGTGTGTGCTTAGATAATGAGTAATAAATGTAAATCCAGGGTCCAAGGTTCAGTCAAGTCATAAAAGTGTGGAACAGTTGACAGTGACAGGTGACCCAAGTGAACATACAGTAAATTCACTTGTACTAATAATGAAACTGTCCTGTGTAGCTATTTATAATGATCATTTAAATACAGTTAAATAATAAATTATATTTTGTATGTTAACACATTTTTCTTTTTCTTTTTTTTTTTTTTTGAGCCCAAATCTTGTTTTTCTGGCAGCTCAGCCAAACTGTGTGTGATTCCTAGCTAACCTCTATTGTTGAAATATTTTACTACCTGACATGAACTACATTTGCAACTAGTAGTCTAGGCACAACTGACACGACTTGAGCAAGACCCCAACAACCAAGTCTGTGTCCAAGGACAGGTCTCTGAACATTGTAAAGGTCTGGCTAAGATCAGTGTCTCCCACGACTTAAAATTGCGCAAATAAAAACCATGTGATCTTCTTTATATTTCCAGTTTTGTGGCATCTATTCACACTTGTAGTACCTACTTTGACCATAATTTCCCGCTGTGTAACTTAAACTACTATGCTCACCTTGGATGTGTTGGTGAAGGACTTGTAGTAAAGAAAGTAGCGCACCACTGAAGTACTCTCTTCAGCCGAGTGGTTGACCAGACAGGAAGTGCATTCGCTTGTGTTTCATTTGTTTCACACACTGCAATTGCAACAAAGAGGTTTCAGTTTTTGTCAATGAAGTTGTCGACTCCTGCTCTGCCCGTACACTTGTTATTCTTCAAGTCTCATCTATCTGATAAGCATAATGAAGTTAGAGTGAGGGCTCAGTGATGGGAAATGAGTATTTGAACATGTCCTGTGCAGACAGAGGGAGTTGGTGATGCTAATGTGCGGCTCTCGCTACACCTCCTGTGTTGACACGGTAATGTTACCTCATTATTGATGATAGATACAACAGGCTTGATGTGCTGCTGTAATGTTGCCCTTAGTGTTGAATGTGTCTGCAGAATCATAGAGGGAATAATAGGCGGGAGGATGATGATGTTTCCCAAATCCTCATTTTCAGATGGATGTCGATGAACCCCACAGACTGAACAGATGCTTAAACCCAGACTCACATCACTGGCTCAACCCAGATGGGTGTGTCTGTCAGTTTTATCCTTGGTCTTGTATTTGTTTGTTTTGCGTAGATGTCTTATTGGGTTCTTAGAGAAAATAAAGGACAAAGTAATCCTCTCTCCACCACACAATCTTTGAGTCCAGTATTTAATCAGTGGTGGTGAGCATGTGATGATGTAACCGGATACTCATCATCTTTCTCGCTGCGCTGCTAGTGGGTTTGCACAGGCAGCTGAGAATACGTTTAATTCTCCCACTCAAAGTGAATTTCATTCTAAAAAAGGATGCACTGATCTCTCTCTCTCTGACCCATATCCTTCCTGCTGCGTTCAGCACAGGACTGGCTTTCACTGCTGATTAATGTGTGTGTGGTTTCATTGAATTCATTGATGCTTTTGTATGTTTAAAATGATCTTCAAAATAGCCTGATAAATATAAACATATAAATTGCTAATATCTTAGTTTGCCTAAAAGCATATCAAATTGCTAAAAGGTTTAAACTGAAATTAACCCCAAAACCTTCCCAACTAATTTGCCAAAAGACATGCTCATTAACAGCTCATATACAGCAGACAAGCAAAATTTATTTCTAAAAGCAAAAATAAACTCAACCAAAAATATCATCTAAAAGATGCCTAACGTCTAGTTGAAAGAGCTAAAAGTTGAAATATTTATTGCAAAGTTGCCAAATGCCTATTAAAAAATTACCAAAAGATAACTAAAGGTTGGCTTCTTACACAGTAGGCCCTAAAGAAAATGAAAGTTATTCTAATATTGACCCAAAATAGGAGCCAAAATTAGAAGCTAAACGTTGGCCAAACAACACTTTCAAGTTGCTTGAAAGTAAGCTGGTGTTTGGAACATAATCAAGAGAACCTTTACTTTCAAATATCTCTATACCTGTTTTTATCACACATTTGTCTGACTTCACCCAGGCTGAACCCCAGCAGCACAGGGGTGGAACTGTAAAAGTAACCAGATCCCTGCTAATTGTTTTTTAAACACTGTTTGTTGTCTGTAGCCTCGAGACTAAAGGATTTGTTTCCTGTTTTTAGATCACATTTCAAACCTTAGCCTGATCAAACAGGATTCCACCAACCTTTCATCTTTATGTTTGACTAGTTGCTAACTTCTAACAGGTCACTACACCTGTGTGACAGGTCCTGGTCAGTAAGGATTTAAAGAGAAATACAGACCTGGGTTTTCCACCTATACAGTATATAAGTGTTGTGTCGATACTGATATCCAGGGACTTCCTATTCAGGAGTGGTTCTTAAAATAAGGGCACAGAGCTATTTCGGGGATGCAGGAATTTCAATATTTCCCTCCAATTGTGCCAGTTGGTTAGAAATTATAACTAGATATTTGAAGTAATATCTATGAACCTTTATAGTCCCATCCCCGAAAAGGAGATGCTGCAGGCAGAGTTTGTGATTTGTGAATTTTCTTTGTCCTTTTCTGCAGGTATTTTGCAGCATCCAGACGGAACAGTCCTGAAGCAGCTCCAGCCTCCACCAAGAGGACCACGAGAGATGCAGTTTTACAGCATGGTAATACTTACTGCAGTACAGTTACACATCTCTGCGAAAGTCTTAAGGACCTCCCCCCATGTTTTTAGTGTTTTACTTATAAGAGCATTAGAAGCTTAAAATGACAAAGCACCACTGGGAGTAATTTTCCAAGCGACTTACACTGAACAGGCAACTTGTACTTCACAGTGAGTGGCGCCATGATGTGCAGAATAAACACCATGTTGTACTGAAACCCTGAAATTAATTAAGACTCAAAATTTCAGGACGCTATAAATCACTTGCATTCAGCCAGACTTAATAGCAACCTATGAAGTTGCTCACAATATTTTCCAGACTTTTGATCACATACTTTTATAAATACTCTCTGGGCGCGGCACCAAAGGTGGTATGTTTATTTAAACTCACCCTGTGTGCAGTCTAGCGTCATGCTAATGTTTACCTTTGTCTGTCAGGTGTACGCAGATGACTGCTGTGACCCTTGTCTCCTAGAGCTCCAGAACCATCTCCCCAAATACTATGGAACCTGGTCTCATCCTGACAGACCTAGTGGTAAGACATGGACTCTCTTTTTTCCAGATCTGTTATAAAAATAAATTGTGATGGAGTATTGGTTAAAACAATTAATCACGATTAATTGCATGATTGCCTGAAGTTAACTTACAATGATTTTGTACTGGTCCTCCAGATCTGTACCTGAAGCTGGAGGACGTGACCCGGCGCTTTGTGAAGCCGTGCATTATGGATGTTAAGCTGGGCCAACGCAGCTACGATCCGTACGCCTCGCAGGAGAAACGGGAGCAGCAGATCAGGAAATACCCGCTAATGGAGGAGATCGGCTTCCTGGTCCTCGGCATGAGGGTGAGTCCAATCCTTGGACAAATCTCTATATCTGTTTATGTGGTGATATGTGAGACACACACACACACACACACCACACAGATCATGTCAGTGTCTCATTATTTATACCCACATGAGTGACAGAGACGGATGACAGGAAATGGAGTGAGCCTGTCTTATCTGTTGGAGAGGAAGACATTCTGGTCTCTATCAGCAAAGTTTATATCAGTTTGATCAGTTTCCATTACGAGCTACAGTCAACACCACACGCCACGCATTATCATCATCATCATCATCATCATCATCATCATCAGCCTCCCCTGCAGTGACTTATTTTGGGTTTTTCCGCTTGACGCAAACACACAGTACCACACAATACATGATTCACATGAATTAGCATGAAAAAGTTTTTGTAAAAAAAAAAAAGTATTTGTGAGGGAGTTCAGCTGAATATCTCTGAATATAATACTAGTTCAGAGTACCCACTAGCCTTTCTGCCAATCAAAAGAATTGACTACTCTCAAAGCTGGCTCTTATATATTAATATATAATATAGATTTTTTAAAGTGTACATTCTTTCTGAATACTACATATATATTTTTAATCTACTTTGTTAAAAAAAAAGCTAATTCACCATATCTTTAATAGGTGCTATCGTCTTACCACCACACAGTATTGTTCATCTCATGTGTCATGTGCAAACTGAGATGTTGCATAACCAAAAGACAATAAATTACAAAATTGTGTTAAATTAGGTCTGTTAAATAAACCCACCAATGAGAACTGTCCAATCTCTGACATTTGAACCACATCCACTTTGATCCTTGACCACATATTGCTCCATCATCTTACGTAAGAGGAACAAACAGGGAGCAGTGGCTCTCCAGTGGGTGCCAGTGGATGAATATATGTGGACGTAATCCAGGTGATAAAGGACACTGTGAAGGCCGTGCTTTGAGGAAATGAGTTATGTGTTTGAACTGCAGGTCTGTGTGTGGACAAGGGAACGGCTCATTGACTGACGACCGCCGCTGAAAGGCGCAATGGTGTTTGTTTAACCAGGACATCAGTGCAGATGACAGCATGTGATGGGACGGCAGCGTTATGACAACATGTTCCTGCACTCAGTAAACCAGTCGTAAATGTGCTGTCACCTGATGTTTACCAACAGCGTCGGTGGTTTTTATGAGGACTAGTGGTCGTTGTTGATGTCCTTTGATCTGTGGTGATGTCAAATAGGAAAACTGAAAGGTTAGGGTTAGGTGCAAAAATGCTCATGCAATTAGCTTCAATGTTCCTTTTGTCTTTGGTGCCTTTAATTACACCTTTATAGTTCTTTTGTTCAGCTCCAACTCATCTTTTAGCTGTTTTTGGCTAACTTGGCTAGCTTGTCTAATCTGACTTATACAGACAAATTGTTTGGTTGAAATCCAGTGGTGGTGACTGTAAATTTTTAACATACATTAAACCTGATTATTAACCCTATGATTATTAAGTATCACAGGAGCAACAGTTACACTAAGCAGCAGAAAGACAGAGAGGCAGTTTACACAGGATCCATGTGTGAAGGTCATGGTACTTGAGGACAGTATTCCAAGTATCTAAAAACTTTACATAAGAGCTGTATTTGAGCTGAGCAGGACGGTACATCACTTCACTGGTGTATACATTATACTGACAAAAGTGGGATGAACAGAAAGACACAGGGTTTGAAATACTGAGTATTTGTCCAGCCAGGAACCCGCCCACGTTGTAATCTAATCAGATGGTTTAAAAACAGTGTGTGTTGCATAAAATACAAACACCCAAAGCTGTTTGTTTCCTAGAACATGGGATTAAGGACGGAACAAACCTGACTCAGAGCTGGGAAAGTTTACCCAGTAGTCCATGTGTTTGGATAGAGAGGAGACTAATTAGTGGTAATGACTTTCCTGTTGAAGAGACGGTTCAAAGAAGATGAAATGTAGAGATTAAGAACAGTGATGTCTCAAAGAAGAACTTCTAAATATAAATATTACACTTGGAGGCCAATCTTCTGATTTACCTCAAGAGTGCAGAGTGCAGTTAAGAAAAAAGTCTTCATCTTTTAATTATTTAATGAGTCGTCTGGGCCACAAAATGCGGAAAATAACTTTCGCACCAAAGCTAACCATGAAGCTTATGCTAGTCGGGTGAGTATCATACCTGTGTTGCTACATGCCCCAATATCTCAAAATACACAAAGTCCAAGACAATGTAAATGAGTGTTTCATAAAACAAAAACTGGAAAAAAGATAATACAGTGGAACCTCGGTTTTTGAACCTAATACGTACCTTAAGGTCGTTTGTGAACCGAAACGTTTGAAAACGAAAACGATTTTTCCCAATAGGAATCAATGGTAAATGGATTAATCTGTTCCTGGCCCCAGGTGATCGCTTATTCGAACGTTTTCAACAGTATTCTGTGTATAGTTCATACACGATACCAATAAAAATTTAAGAAAAAAAGATCAACTTTTTTTTTAATCATTTTATTGCTTCCTTCATCTTAATGTGCAAATCGGCGACTGCTAAGCCATACCGTAAAGCCAGATCTGAAGCACGAGAGCCATTCTCATGGTTTCGTATAGTCTCTCGTATATTCACTTCTTTTGTTGTTCTCACTATTTTGCTTTTCCATGGTGATTTATGCAATAAAAAATAGAAGAAAAAGCTCAAGGCAAGAAATACCGGCAGAATCAGACAACAGTTGTTAGCGCGTATATCCTGAGCGTGGGCTGAGGCAAGACTGACGTCACACACTAAGTCACTCAGTGATCAAAAGACTGCACGTTGGGTTGATTGGTGACTTTTTACACCCAGTCCTGATACCTGCTCTTTTAAACTCCCTGGCCATTCAGACTAAACCGTTATATTCAGGTTGAGATTGTTAACTATTTGCTGTTTCCTCTCTTGTTCCAGGTATACAAGATGTGCAGTGACACCTTTGAGTCCTACGACCAGCACTATGGTAGGGCACTGGTGAAGGACACCATTAAAGATGGTACGTGTCGGGAATCTAACTTAACATTAAACAGGTTACTTGTTATCACTGAAAATGCAGTCATAGAATAATTTTTTTTTTTAAAAACTTTAATTTAAGACCAGGGTCTCAAATTGGCAAATACAGTTTCTCATCCTTAATTGACTGACAAAAGTATTTTTAAATTTTATATTATCCTGTCTTCAGGTCTGGCCCAATTCTTCCACAATGGTGTTTGTCTCAGAAAGGATGCAGTGTCTACGAGTGTCCACAGGGTGAAACAAATCCTGCGCTGGTTTGAATCCCAGCAGCAGCTGGTCTTCTACGCCAGCTCTCTTCTTTTTGTGTACGAGGGTCTTACCTCCTCCTCATCCTCTTCCTCACCTCTTTCCTCCCCTGCCCTGAGCCCAACTTTGGTGCAAACTGTCACGTGTCCCTCAGTGGTGGACAGCTGTCAGAGGACGAAGGACGAAGCAGCACAGGAGAAGGAGAAGAAAGAGGAGGAGGAGGTGGCAGAGTTCAACAACAACAATATTCAGGTGACGGTGCCCTGGGACTACAGCCTGGCCACCATTTACACCAACCACAGGAAACATGGCCACCACCACCACTGTGCCTCCAAGACTCAGCTCCAGGGCAACAGTGGAGACAGTGCGACTGTGGAGACTGACTACGTACAGTGTCAGGAGGACAACTCCACATGGAAACGGAAGGGTGAGTCAACGCAGCCACCAAATGGCAACAAGAACAAACCACAACTGGAAAGAATGGTGGATGAAGGAGAGAGAGGGGTGCAATGCAACAAGGAGAAGGAAGAGGAGGAGAAGAAGGAGACGAAAGGACCAGGAAAAAATGAGTCAGAGGTGGAGGTGAGGATGATTGACTTTGCCCACGTATTTCCAAGCGAAAGCCATGATCAGGGCTACATCTACGGCCTCAGACACCTGCTGACGGTGCTGGAGCGGATCCTCCATGACTCTGCCTAGAGCTCCTGCTGCTTCCTTCTTCTCTGCCACCACCCACCCTCCCTCTGTCTTTTTAACCCTCCTCTCCTCTGAAATTAGGCAACCCGCAGAGGAGCAAAGGGAAAACTCACAGGCCTGAATATTAAATCTGAACCATCAACATCGCATTTATTATCATCTCACCTGACTGTGATGGTCCGTCGACCATGTGAGTTTGTATATCCTGAGCGTGGTCTGTGTGTGTGTGTCTGTCTGTCTGTGTGTGTGTGTGTGTGTGTGTGTGTGCTGACAGCTGTTTTCTGAGCAGCAGCACTACATGCACTGATCATTCTATGAAGGCGCTTCAACCCTCCAGTGAAACACAACATCCTCAGCTGCTTGCTTTACTCCTGCTCTGACAGAAACACACTTCAAACAATAACACGCTTCAGGTTCAAGTACAGAAGCTAAAATTGAAAAACAAAAATCTGTAATTTTATAAGTCAATGTTTCCCGTATAAAATTTGCAACAGCAACACTTTTCGGTATCTTATTTTGTCTCAGTGGACATGCAAGTTTACTGAACTGTGCCCTCTGCGGGCAAAAAAAGCCAAACCGTGACAATTGGAAATACAGTTTGTTAAAGCAGCTTTTAACCGGATCAGGGTTTTCTTTTGCTTGAAAAATGTATAATTACAAAATTTTTTTTTTCAGAATTTATCAGAATTTACTTAAAAACAATTTTAAAACGTTTTCTATCAAATATTTGGTCAAATTGGGAAATGCATGTCATTCAGAAGAATTTAATTTAACATTTAATCAAATTTTATTTAAGGGATAGTTCTAAAAAACAGACAGAGCAACAAACAAAGATGTCCCTTAACTGTTCAATTAGTCTAAACAACATCTCGGGTGTTGTTGCGTGTCGTGAGTTCCTCAGCATCAAGTTGAACAAGCAGTCTGCAGGATGTTAAGGATCACGTCAGGTTGTTTTTCTGATTTTTCTTTTACTATTTTTGGTTTAAAACCACTTTTAACAGGTATCTAACTCAGGTAAACTTACTGTACATATACTACTACTATAATCCCAGCAGATCACCCTGTTCGTTTGGCTCCACAGGATGGTTGTGTGTACTATAGTCATATGTTAGCTCATAATTGCCCTTATCTCATCCTGTTAACCTTGCAATGATTTTACCAACATTGTGTCGACTTCTACCAACAGCTTTACTGTTTTTGTGCATTTCCGCTGCCAAATCTTTCTCATTCTCTTTGCTGTAGTTTCTGTTGTAGACTAAACGTTGGTTACAACAAATCGCTGTAACTAACTGTTACTTTCTTTGGCACGAAATACTACAGTAGGTGGCAACCTTATGGTTAGCAAAGATAAAATTAGCCCATTGAGTTTTAAGATTGTAGCAAAAGTGTTGTTTTAAACATGTTGCTTTACTGAGATTCTACTGACGGAGTCGCTGCTAAAGGGAAAAGACAGCAACTGAATGGTTTTACTGTACGATTCTCTTTTTCTTTCTGGGGATTCACACGACAGAAGGTGGAGCCTTTAAAGCCTTTAAAGGTTGGTTAGCAGCGAGACATTGTTGCTGATACTAAGTATACAAAACCAAAAATGTAGCTTGATTTGACAAAATACAACCTTTGCAAGAAAAGGGTTTGTTTGATTTGTTGATGGCTGACGTGAGAGGAATTAAAAAAATAAAAACCATCAAATCACGAGAGCAGAATAGATATTAAAAAGAGGTTGTTTTTTTTTAGATTTTCTTTTAATTAAAAAAATGACTGTCGCTCTTTATCCTGCTCCAGGACTAATACAACACTACTTAGAGAATAGAATGGGCCAATCAGATTCGTTTTTAGTGCAGGAGCACTTTTCATTTCAGAAACGCAGTAGTTCAAAAATAAATGGTTGGACTCCGTTGGACTTGATCATGATAAGAAACATACACAGTGAGCAGGATAAATTAGCATACAGTATGTGTTAGCAACAAGTTAGCCATGATACTGTCAGACTCGTTCTTGTTTGTTTTAACTTTTTTTTTTTTTCACCTTTAAATCCAGAAATGTTTCGTATGCAACTACTATCTTAATCCCAATGGAAAACAAACACAAACTGGTAACGTGAAGTCGTTAATCTGTTCTGAGCCTAGTTTGTAATGACTCTCTTCTCACCAGGAATAATGCTACAGAGTGTTTTATTTTTATTGTAATGCAATGCTGGTCTTTGAGTTTCTCTACATATGTTTACCAACGACCTCCTGCTGTTCCTACACTAACAATATTGCTGCAATGCTAACGCTCACTGCCCCAGAACACCACATAGTCGCATCTATTTTAATTTATAATATGCAGCACGTAATATGTTAATATATGTACGATGTAAAATTCCCAATATTTGGTCAAGTCTACTCTGATTTCAATCTGACGGCAAACTGGGAAAGATACATATTTTTCCAATGTTATTTTTTTTAAATCATCAAAATTTAAATTCATTTAAATCCAAAATATAAAAGTCAAGGATTTTTTAAAGGGACATTAAGAGAGTTGATAATGTTTTGTTCACTGCCTTATTTTGTGTCTGTGTGTTTGAAATATTGATCATTTTGGCAGCTCTGCACATCTGCTCTGTGTTTTATCAGTGACATGATGATGTCGGCCATTTTTGTGAATAGATGAGAAGAGGGTTTTTACACATTGATCCCACTGACTCATATATATTTCTACAAGTTGGAGTCAAAGAACTGCAGGAGTTCCCAGGCAGTCGTTGTTTTTACTCTGTAATATATATATTTTTTATTTGAATGCTCCTGTGAAACCCTTCATTACAAATTAAAATCATACAGTTATCGGAGGGAAGTCAGCGCTGTCGGAATACTGCACATTTCAGAATTCTGCCCCTACAGGTTGATTTTGTAACTGCATAGATGTGTTCACAAAGATTAGATTGATTATTGTTAATGTTGACTAACACCAACTTTAGGTAAATATTGTTTCTTTAATTTGATCAGGCAGTTAATTCATTTAAATATCACATTTTAATGCTTAAATTTTTTATTCTAAACTTAAACTAAATTTACTTTGAGCCTTATTATAATTTCAACACGATTGTAAAACAAAATTCAAATTTTAACCTGCAGCTGTAAAAAGAATGTCTTGGTATTTCCTGGAGGCGTACTTGAACAGATGCATTAAAACACCTGAATGGTTTTCTCATCAGCCTGAATCCATACAGTTGCTTAGATGATTAAATGTGCAACATGGTTCACAATCAGAAACCAGGGGGTGCTCAGACATTCAGTTTGTTAAAATCAATTTCTGTTGTATCACCGTTGCTGTTTTTCACAATGACTCCTGTGGCTGTGATAATTCCTCATAAGCTAAAACAATCTGAGCGACACAAGAGCAAGAAATGCATTTAGCTGTGATTTGAAAATGTTCATTTGTCTGCCAGCCTGTGTTGAGACTTTTCCAGTGAAGCATTTTATTTTTAAAATGTATTTGGTCACCTTCCCATTGGTTGTCACAGTGACATGTCACTTCAATGTCTTCGTGTAATGTTTGACTTTGTAAATGCCAGTTTGCTGTTGATGCTGCATCGTCACTGAAACCAACCTTACTTAAAGATCATGGTTAGACCAGACCAGACCAGTTGGAATATTTGGAGAACCCTCCAAAACAATTCTGACTCAGTCATGCTCCCCCCCATGCCCCCCTCCTCCCCTTCATGGAAACTGAGCTCTCAAACTCCTCAGCGCTGCTTCTTAGAGTTTGGATTGAATTTTGATAAACTGGATTTAACACATCTTATAAATGTGAGCCTGAAACTGAACAAAACAGTGTAAATACAGAGAGGGACCTCCCTCCACCTCTACAAATCTGATGATTATTTTTTCAACAATAAAACAGTTAATCCAAGCATGTGCTGGCTCACCTCTTTATTTGAGCCTTACAATTTGTCTTCCATCGTAAAAGCAACCAAAACGTCAAAAGTGAGTAATAATCTGTTTTCCAGGTCAGGACTAAAGCATCTGCGTTAGTGTTCAACGATCTAATCCTCATGAGGTCCAGCATGCTCCTGGATTACAGTGGGAGGGACCTTATTAACCAATGAGCAGCGTTCATATTCCACCATTTCACCTGTGTTCCCTCCATACCTGCACTGCGGCAGCTGATCCTGATCCGAGCTGAGTTACCGACACAGAAATCCGACCAGGTAAGAACCTGTTCTAAAGTTTAAACACTTTTAACTGGTGTCACTTCAAGTCTGCCTAAACTCTACTGATGTTCACTGTGGGTGTGCAAAAATGTCTATTTTAATAGGACTTTGAGTTAGCTGATCAGATACAACAACATGGTAGAGACAGCAGAGTGACTAGTTCGGAGAAAGAATATAATGAAAAAATGCATCGTCTCATCATGTATTTTATCAAGATGCATGTTTGATTGAATATCTGAAATGTTATTAAGAAACTTCTCATATGGTCTCTATTTACTTTTGTTTTTATTTAAATGTTTATTTGTACACAGATCTACAAGTTATTTCACGCTTATTAAATTTACGTCATTTCCTCTCCCCGTTGCGCATGCGTAGTAAGAGTTTACAAATTATACCGGAAAGGAGCGCTCTTGTTTTTCAAACAAACATTTGGTAGTCGTCGAGTGTATGCGGATGGCACTAAGAGAAAAATCACTTGACCCAAACTATTTACGTTTAAACTACATAATGGAGCAGTTTTGTATGATCTTCAGTCATTTTCTGGACAGTAGTTCGTTAGTTTGTTTCTCGATAAACATTTTTGACGGCAAGTTAACCTGCTAGCGTGTGTTTAGTTCTGCGGTCCAGCGTTATCATCTCTGTGTACAATCCATGAACAGCGGATGGCTCGTCCTGAAAGAAATAGAATGAGTCGAGAGATCAAGGTCTACAAATAACTTTGAAGATGATTTTCTGTTATTGCACATATTGCACCATTTGTTCAATTGTACAGTTCGTTCGGGTTAAATGTCATTTCTTCTGAGTTAACTGTACTGATACCACAACATTGTTGCATTTTTGGTAATGTCGTCAGTCAGCCATTGTATTTCTTTTCGCACACATCTACAAATTATTTCTGCATTAACGATAATCTACATTACGGGACCTTTAAATTTACGCCATTTTCTTTCGATAGTTTGCGCATGCGTAGCAATAGAGACTTTAAATTAAACCGTAAATATTGCTCTGGTTTATCAAACATTTAGTAGTACGGTATTTTATTGACCTTCAATAACAAAGTCACACATGGTGGCATATCTTGGAGGATACAAATGTATTCTTGGATTACTTTGTGGTCTTTTGCATTTTCCAAGAAAGTCACATTATTTATGTATACATGTCATCATAAAATGTCAATTGATGATTTGAGGCACTTTCATATCAAGTGATTTTGATGATTTGTGGCACATCTAAACCGCGCTACCTCACCCTAATAGCAATAATGCAAAAAGATTTAGAGTTACCAGCAGAAAATGCGGTTACTTTCAGTGTATCCCATTTATTTATTTAAGATATTTTCCTTCAATCTAGTTGTGTTAGTCAATCTGTCCATACTGCAGACCTTGTAATGTGAATCCACTGACTTATATTCTTTATATTATATATCTTTATATATCTTTATATTCTAAGACTTTTGAATAAGTGACGTACATCTTAGGAGAAATGAGTGGTACAGTTTGTCTGTTATGGTTTTGTGTTACTTTTTAATGTTGACAGATTGCAGTCCAGTAAAGTGACTTGACTGTTTGTGTGAAAAGGTTGCTTAGTTCAAAGCTGACAGTGTGAGGCTGTTAAAGGCCACCCAGGTAGAGTGGAGTAAAAATGAAATTATTATTTAATGTTTGTTTTGGAATCCAAGACATGGACTGCCAGTTGATGATCAATGCTGTACGTAGTGTGAAAATGACTGAGTGCAATGTGTTGTCTTTGCAGCTCTGTGACTCTGGATCACATCAAGACTTTTAAAACCTAGAGACTGGTGAAGACCGGGCAGGAGGCCATGGAAGTGACCACAACTTCCACCAGCATTGGCAAGTTTGAGGCCAGGTGAGTTGAAGGTGGTGTTTCTGGAGTATTATTGTGTGTTTGAATAAAGCAACCGTCCAGTTGCCCTTGATGTAACTATATTTAGATTAAATGACTAAGAACCTACACTGACAGCGTTTGATTGTGTTGTTCCAGCTCATTGTTGTCATTCATTGCATGCTATTGTCATTGTCTTAACAGGTGGAGAGGACTTGTGAACACAGCAGTTTGAACTGGCCAGGTAGAGTGAAGGAGCAACTTTATTTGAAGCAGATCACTTGTTTGCATATTTGAGTATTTTACTGAAACTTATTGGTAACAGACACTTTTTGGCCCTTGCACTTTCAATGACAGATCCTTAACACTCACTTTTTTGCAACAGATTTTTTTTGTGCCATTGTACTTTCATTGTTGTCTGTATTTGATTGTTGTAAAACTTTTAGAATAAAGAAAGTTTTTGGAATATTGTGTATGCTGCATTTATTTCCAGAAATTAAGCAAAAAATATAAAATATGAATGATTTCTCATTGCCTTTTAGGGCGTGCATTGTCAAACTCAAGGGTATTGGTAAAAAGAATATATTTTTGTTTTAGTATTTTTTTTTTTAGATGTTTAAGTTTGTTTTTTAGTTTGCTATGTAAAAACTAAGTAGTAAAAAGTAAGCAAGTTAAAAAACCAACCAGCGTACTTCTACAATAAACAGAAAAAACAAACATGTACACAGATAGGTTGGGGGAAAATGAAACTAAATTGCACTGACAGTAAAACACTTACCGATTTAAAGACGGCTTCGTACGACTCATCGTCGATACCATCTCTGAGTGGGTAATTCACTGCGTAGTATTTACTCTTTCCAGCCCCGATGTCCTGTAAACATTTCACAACACTCTGTAAATGCTGTCCAAAAGTTTCATTTCCGCTGACAAATAACTTTAAATGTTATTTTTCTTACCGGCCCAGGTGATGGCGATATGGGACTGCTACTACACCTGAAAAGATTTACTTCCAAAAAGTATTTTATATGAATA